AAGTTCAGGCGGGGCAGAGAGGTAGGAAGCCCCTCCTGGCCAGTTGGGGATTTATAGGTCATAGCCATCCCTGTTGGGTCGCGGCTGCAGCCATCGGGAGTGTGTTTTTAACGGTTTGTCAAGAGCTCCCAGAGGGTGGGCTGAGGAAGCTGTTTGTTGTAGTTCACCCGGATCTCAATGCGTCAGTAATATAGAAGGGTTAGTGGCACTTGAAAATCAGCTGCTCACCTGGCCACTAATTCTGAGACCGAGTTTCTTCCTAGCGCTGCTGCTCGGTGAGCTGAGCTGCTCCCTGGTGAGCCAAAGGTCACGCGAAAGGACTGAGGCTGCCTCGGCTTGCCAGTTCTTTCCATGCTCTCCCGCCCAGCTCCAACTGTCTACCTGCTGGCAGGAAGGAAAGAAGCAAAATCCATGAAGGGTGAGTTTGGGAAAAGCCTTTGACAATCTCTCTCTTCCATTTATATCGTGCAGCAGCGTGTATTACATGGGCCTTGCTCTGCCTTCCACTGCACCTCTGCAAACTCCTTATGTCAGTGGGGTTGAATGGGGGCAGTGAAGTGTCGAACGCGGGGCTCTATAGATACTATGGCATGCACTGAGGCAGAAACATCCTAGGAACAATCATGCACTCTTGGATACTGCAATGGTGCGTGCAGCGTGTGACGGGGACCAGCTGGTTAGACTGTATGCCCCAGTGGTCAGAGCACTGGCTGGCCATAGAACTTAGTGGTTCAAGTCCAAGGAGTTCAAGTTAGGGGAACTTGAATCCTCTTACTCCTGTAGGCTCCAGCCCAGAACCTGGGGGTTGGCAATTCAGGTATGTGACCTGGGCTAGGTTATCACCCAGCCTACTCCCTGGGTTACTTCCTTCCATGTTCTGGCCTCCCCTCAGGCACCTCCCAGGAGGAATTCCCCTCCCCCCCCCCAGGAGCAGCTACTCCACTGTCTCTTCTATATTGGCTAGCTGCTTTGAGTGGAGGGGGGTGCAGGACTATTCACCTGCATGACTGAGAGTGCTTCTCCCTTTAAACCCACCCTCATTGAGACCATGCCCAGCAGCTGCAGCTGGGTGGAGCTTCCTGTGACCAGAGCTGCTCCTTAACCCCCGGTTCTCCAGAACGGTGTATGTACACCCCATCATACGCTTACTGTTCTGATTGAGGAAAGCGGGTCAGAATGACTTAATCACATGCTTCAAGTTAATCCCAAGGGTTTAAATTCTGCCCTGATGAAGGATGATTTCCTGAATTGGGGCTTCCATGCCTGAGGATGGTTATAGGTGCATGGATGTGAGGAGGAAAATTCAAAAGTTCCTCTGCCCAGCGTGGCTATGCACCTCGAAGTGTGACTCTTCATCCAACCCCCAGGTGCTGAGAGTTGCTAGAAACAGCCACACTTTAAATCAGATTAAAGGGAGCAGAGAAAGAGGGAATTGACAGAGAAGGGAGAGAGATGGCCCACCAATGTTGGGATATGGTGCACACACTATCCTGGCTGCCTGCTTGTAATTTACAAAATACATTGCAGGGAGCATGTAAAAGTAACGTGGAGTTTTCTCCGCTAGCTAAGAGACATTTGGGTTCAAATTCTGGCCACAGCCCTATTGAAGTTCCTGGCAAAATTCGCATTGACTTCACTGGAGCCAGGATTTCCCTCTTCATATCTGTCTCTCTTGAAACCACTTGGGAAAGTTTTTTTTCCCCACATTTTAGGAAATGCTATTAATAAAGCATATAGTAGCTGTACTGTACCTACTAGTGTGCTAGACACTGCATTGGCTAGAGGCAACAGTGACTAAACTAGAACAGTGTTCGCTTTTTTTCATTCTTTGCAACATTAACTTTTTACCAGTAAAATCCAGCTGAAAGGAGCTCTTTGAGTCAACTTTAAATCTGATGCAGGAGTTAGGTCTTTTCAGTCTCTAGCTACTGGAACCCTACAAGATTTTCATGTCCAGCCCTCTGCCAGAGTAGGGCAGAAAGCCCCTACTAACGATATACTAGAGACAGAGATTTCTTTATCATTACAGAAATAAACTTATTTTGTGCAAGATATTAGTCTGTATCTGAGGGCGCAATTTGGTCTAATACCACTGCACCCTTTGGTCCTAATGTTATGTGATCTTCCATCTGCCTCTCCTTAACTGAGATGGTAAATGGAGGAAGTGATATTTAGCATTTGTATGCCTTTGCTGCCATAAATATGTCTGTCTAGTGAATGTCTATTAACTGGAGATGGCTGTACTCAAGCCCCAAGAATAAGTTGCAAAAATATCAGGCACTGGTCTATAGATCATTAAACTGATATTTCAATACATACAGAACTTTCTGGACCCTGGCTTTTCAATGGTCCTCTAGACATTGCTCTCACAGAAACAATAACAGGCAACAGTTTGCATGTTAGTTATTTATTTACAGTGGAAACTCACAATACAAGATTGTAGAAAAAACTGAAATCATTCCTATATTAGATTGGCATATTAACACCCTTGCCCCAACTTTGTTTGCAAACTATATTTCAGAAGTCATTTGCATTCTACAAGGGTCCGTCTACACAGAGTGGCTATTTGGGGATACCTCTGGTATCCCGAAATAGCGACCCTGCATCTTAACAAGCAGCCCATTATGTTGAAATATTTTTTGAAATAATGGGCACACTATTTCAGCATCCCTGTAACCCTCGTTCCATGAGGATTAAGGGATGTCTCGAAATAGTGGGTTATTTTGAAACTTGGCCCTGTGTGGACGCACCCAATTTCAAAATAAGCTATTTCTAAATAGAATTGAAATAAGATATACAATTTGCATAGTGCAAATTGCATATCTTATTTCAAGTTTAGAGTGCTGTGTAGATGCACCCTAAAAAAATAGCTTGGCCAAGATTTTCCAGAGAAACTAGTGATTTTTGGTGCCTTTTGGCAGACATGTTAGAAGACAAACCTGATTTTGGCAGTGCAGCGCTTTCTGAAAATCTGTGCCTCTGCCCCCAAGGAGTGAGGTACCCAAAGCACTTGTCACCTTGGAAACTCTTGGCCACGACACTGTCTATGTCACTTACAAGGATGGTTCAATTAAAACTCACAGATGTTACAGAAGGAAAAGAGTTCTTAGATCATCGGCTGTCAGCAGGTCTGGGGTTAAGCCACACTGTACACTTCTGCAGTGAATTTTTATGTCTAGTTTTAAACTATTCACAGCGATGGCCCTTTTGGAAGCTTATTCTATAGCCTGATCTCACCACTAGGGATGTTTCCTGAGATTCAATTGATATTTCCCCTTTCCTAATTTCAACTCATTCCTCCTGCTTTCCTTTCCTTTCTAGAACACCTTAAACGTTTACCATATGATCAATGCAGCCCTCAGCCGTTTCTAGGTTCAGTGCATTCAGCTTTCTGCTGTCCATCATGGTGTGGAATAAATAGTTCTGGGGAGAATGCAGAGTTAAGTCACTTACTTGCTAGAATGCTTGTCTCAGCCCGGGATATGACTCCATTGTATAATTTGTTCCTTGATGCACCTCACTACAATGCAGCTGATTCCTTTTTTCCTTTCTCTCTCTTTGCTGCTAGGAATTAAGAGGGGCAAAGTCCCCTCCCCTGGCAGAGCTCTCTGATTACATATTAAGGGTGAGTAGTGAGCACAGGGTCAGCAGGCCTCAGAGAGCTGGCATTGAAGAGCAGATAGGAGCCTGGCTCCTACCAGTCCTTGTGAGGCTGTTCCTACCTCAGAAAGCCTCTTATGAAAACACTGGGGCAAACCCAGATTTCATCAGAGCTGCTCAGAACATTTTCACCCAACCATGTTGTCTCGCTGAAGCATTTTGCAGTCTGAGAGTCAAAGACTCAGCCACTCTTTTGCCTGGTGGCTCAGGAACATGCCATGTACCAAACTGTATTCCGAAGACAGGTGGTTTACTATTAGAGGAACAAAAGCACCAAGAACAGGCGGATCCCAGAGGGTGACAGATGTTTGCTCTGTCCTGCAAAACAAAGAGAGAATTGCAATGTAATTAAGCCAGCCTAAGCCCCAGGATAGACACCATTAGGTTGACAGAAGAATTCTTTTGTCAGCCTATCATTCCTCGGAGAGGTGGATTTACTCACCATGATGGGTGAACCCCTTCCTCCATTGCTGTAGTAATTGCCTATTCTGCTGCAGCACTGTAGTTTATGACTATAGCATTTCTAGTATAGATGTAGTAACCCTCACACCTTTTGGGTCAGATCCCATCTAGTGGCACTGAGACCACTTAGAGAGAGAATAATGAGTCTGCTCTACAGCCTTAATTGGAAGTGCATGGTTACATACTTCCCCTAGGGAAGCACATCTCAAGCTTCAGAGATATCCCAGTTGAAATCCCAGATATCCCTGCACAACATACAGCTCAAGAGCCACATGCAGCCCGCAGGGGCTCACTGTGCTGCCCATGCCGACTATAGGCGGCGCTGCTCTATCCAACCCGCCAGCCAGGTGGAGGAGCGGAGCGCCGCTGGGCTACCTGCATGCAGCTCCGGAGCGAGGAGGCAGGGAGTGAGCCAGAGAGTGGGATGCCGGCAGATGCCAGGATGCTGGCATGACATGGTGTCGTGATGTCATGGCTGGTGACCGCCGGATTCAAAAAGGCTCTGGCAGTCCCACAAACTGGAAGGGAGAAGTCAGGTAGGGGAGGGGAAGGGGCTTGTGCTGAGGGGAGGGGGGCAGGTCAGGAGAAAGGGGAAGGTACCAAGGGGCAAGAGAGACAAATGCCAGGGGGCCAAGTAGAGACACGGTTTTTTTTGTTTGTTTTTTGCTCAACAAAAATTTTTAGCCTGTGTGTTTGGTATTTTTTGGGAGAGCATCCCTACTTGTGGCCCCCAGTTGTTTTCTTTGGAATAATATGGCCCTCGCCGCTTTCTGAGTTGTGCAGGCCTGTCCCAGATGAACCCTGACTTGGAATGCTAATAGGTGGAATCGAACCTGGGACCTCTGGAGCTCCATAAGTCCCAGGTTCAATTTCACCTGTTGACCTTACATAGACTAACAGATAGCACCTGCCCAGAAGAGCTTGCAGTCTAGGCAGAACAGATTGGGGGGAGGGGCAGAGAGAAAAGGAAGCAGTATTTCCCATATTTTACAGATAATGACATCTGGCTCTTATATTGCCCGTTTCATCTGTAGATCACAAAAGAGATCAACATAATAAACCTCGTTTTACATCTTGGGACATGAGGTGCAAAGAGACAAAGGGACCTTCCCAAGTTTGTCCAGAAACTCTTGGCTAACTCAGAACTTAAACCCACGTCTCCTGAGTCCTAGCATAGTGTCTTAACCATGTTGTAATAGATGATATTGCATTATACTGTTAAGCCGATAGGTGGAACTGTGTGTAAAATACCTTATTAAATGAACCTTAGCCATTCCTAGCATAGCAAAAGGGATCTTACAATGAACACCTCTGGTTCGTGTGAGCAAGCTCTGTAGCCAGTTGTCATTTGATATTGAAATACAAGGGACACGTAACCATCCTTCTGCTTCTTCAGTTCTGAGCACAAGACTTGCCTGGCTGTGTGCTTCTGTGCTGGAAGTGATCTGCTGGGGACAAGCTATGGGAAAACCATTCTTTGTCTAGCCTTCAGAAATAACACAAGTGCTCATTTCCCTCTGCAGCATGGGGCACGGCTCACTTGCTGGTTTGAACCAGAGGGAATGGTGGATTCTCTACAACTTGAAGTCTGTACAGCAGGATTTGAGGGCTTCAGTGACTCAACCAGATATTCTGAGTCTTTTGCAGGAGTGGGTGAGTGAGCTTCTAGAGTCTGGGATGTATAGGGGATGATCATTGCCTAGAGAAGTTGTGGAATCTCCATTGCTGGAGATATTTAAGAGCAGGTTGGATCGGCATCTATCAGGAGTGATCTAGATGATGCTTGGTCCTGCCATGAGGGCAGGGACTTGACTCGATGACCTCTCAACGTACCTTCCAGTTCTAGTGTTCTGGGACTTTATGATGGTCCCGTCTAAGTCTTCACTTTGAGTTTTCTCGGCAAAAAATATGCTAATGAGGGACTCAATTGCATATTTTCTGCTGATCCATTTTTTATCTGAGGGTTTTTGCATACAAATAAGCAGTGTGGACATCTTCTTTTTGTGCAAAACCCCCTTTTCCAAAAGATCAGTATACCTCCTTTTTGGGGAACATAAAGATCTTGCAGAAAAAGGGGTTTTTGCTCAAAAAGAAAATGTCCACGTTGCTTGTTTTTCAACAAAAACCCCAGCTCAAAAACGGATCGGCAGAAAAAAATGCAAATGAGTTCGCAACTCATGCAATTGAGTCCCTCATTAGCATATTTCTTGCCAAGAAAACTTGTAGGGTAGACGTAGCCTATGAGTCTAAAGCTACGTCTAGAAACTCCTCTGTGTCCAGGAAATGCGTCTGCTCTTCTGCTTTTTTTTGCGGAAGAGCAAATGCACTCTTTTGGAAGCCCTGTCTTCCTCATGCCTCAAGGAAGAAGGGCTCTTCTGAAAGAGGAGGTTTTTCCAAAATTTGGCCCACTGTAGACGGGCCAAATTTTGGAAAAGCCTCTTCCGACAAAATTATCAGAAAAAGGTATGCTAATTGCTGCGCGCAATTTGTTTTCCTTTTTCCGATAAAACATTGCAGTCTAGATGTAGCCTATGTGTGGAGGGAAGCTGAGGTGAGAGGAGAGAAGCTTAGAGAGAAGCTAGGTGAGTAAGCAATGGGAGAGTGTCATGATGATGAGGGTTAGCCAGCATCCTGGGGACTAAGGGGTTAACGATGTCCGGGTATGTCTACATTACAAAGTTAATTCGAACTAACAGATGTTAGTTCGAATTAACTTTAATAGCGGCTATACATACAAACCGGTAGTTCGAATTTAATTCGAACTAGCAGAGCGCTTAATTCGAACTAGGTAAACCTCATTCTACGTGGACTAACGCCTAGTTCAAATTAAGTAGTTCGATTAAGGGCTGTGTAGCCACTTAATTTGAACTAGTGGGAGGCTAGCCCTTCCCAGGTTGCCCTGGTGGCCACTCTGGGCCAAACCAGGGAAACTTTTCTGCCCTTCTCCCGGCCCCAGAGCCCTTAAAGGGCCACGGGCTGGCTACAGTGCTCATGCCAGTTGCAAGCCTGCCAGCACCCAGCCAGCAGACCCTGCACCTGGCACGGCATCAGCCAGCCACCCGCTGGCACCCAGC